CATACTCATTCTTTCTAGTGCCTTGAACTCTGAGGTCTATATATGGATTGTAACTTCCAATTTATTCCTAGGGCATTAGTTAATAATTGAGAACTTAGGCCATGAGTGCAGTGCCAACTTCGGACCCCACACCTAAGGGTAAGTCAAATCAAGGAATTATTACATGCCTCAGCTCAGCCTGAAAAAGTGTCCACCATTATAATAGATACCAATACCCATACTTTCCAGGCTTTACCTCTGTGAAGTCCACTTGCCCAATTCACCATCTGAGGTTCCTCACATATGAATTCTTTCCATTTGTTCCAGCTTTTCAGCTTTTACCTGTTGGAAATTACCTATACACATTACAAAGGATTGTCAGGCTGAGGCCCCACTGGTTTTCAGATCAGTCTTAGGCAGTAGCCTCGGGCAATTTACCTTGGTGCAAATATCTACATATAAACTGACAGCTTAAGCCTGTATGCATTTTTCCCAAGTTTAGTTTCAAAATTTGCACACTTATTACCACTGTTTTTGCTTCTTCCTTTAATCTTAAGAACTAGTAGCTCTAGAGACCCCGTTGGTTTTAGAGTGGTCTCTCAAGCTACCTAACCAGCTCAGATGTTTCTCTGTATCTTAGGGTCTCTAGTTTCTTTAACTCCTGTATAGTACTCTGAACCTTGGATACTTCTTCCATTTTATTCTCCTCCTTTTCTCTCAAACTTGCTTTCATGATCCCACTCTCCTTCTCAATGTGCTCCTTAACCTGCAAATGTTTTGGCAGGGTCACATGAGAGTTCCTTTGACTGGCCAACTGCTGTTCCTTCTCACAACCCCTTTGCTTGCTCTTCAGCTCCTTCCTTAAGTTCACAAAGGTGCTATTGAGAGGTAAATTTTCCCACCTCCACCTGTTCCATTGGGACATGATATTTCTGCATTACATTTATGGTGAAGATCTCAGCAGTCTTTTTGGCTTTTTACTCTAGTAGTTTCTCTTTCTAGTTTTCCACTTCACTGTATTTTTGTGACAGATCTTTCAACTGTTTGTTTAGCGCTTCTGTTTTTCTTCCCAATGCTCTTTTCCTTTCCCCGGCATTCTTTATCAGACCATGTGGTCCTTTAACTCTTACTGAAGAGTAACAATCTCTTTCTTGAGCCTGATATTTCCTGTTCACTTTTCTTGGCCTCATCTTCTATGACATAGCACTTCCTCGTCTTTCTCTATAACTATTCTTATCTTCTTTCTCTGTTGTTTTGAATATCTGGTGACACTCTTCAAAGCTTATAATCAACATGTACTTCAGGCTAATACATTCTTATATCAGGTCCAGCTCTTTTATTATGTCCACTATTTCTTAATGAAGCATCAGTATCTCTTCTTGGCCTCACTTGTGGTTAGCAAGGATGGTAGCATTGCTGTCTTGTGCTTCTGTTGGCCTCTGTCCTGTGGTCCCCTAACTTGCCTCATGCTCACCCAGGCTAATGTACTTGAATTTCATTTAATTCTGACTGTTTTCTAGGTTCCTTTTGAGGATTTTCTTCTCATTTTTGACTCTCACAAGTTCGTAATTTATATCTTCAAAGCTTTTCTTCACGTCAATAATTCTCTGGTTTCTCCAGTGTTCTCTTCTATTTGCTTTTAACCTCTTAGTGGGTTTTGTTTAGCACATATTGGAGATTCAGTATTTTATAAACTGTGTTTTGAGATAGAAGTGTGTGAATTTTTTTCTTTGTCACATTTCTTCTTAATTTTATACAGCTGTTTTTAAATTAAACACAGTTGGAATTCAGAGCCTCAAGCTCCTTTGCATGTTTCTCCAGAGATACAATCACATTTTCCAGGTGTTAATGGGATTACATAACCTGTCATTTTCAATCTTTCTCCCCCTTGGACATTCCTTTTTCCAATGTCCATTTTTCTTGCAATAAGCACACTGATCTAGTCCTAGAGGTTCCCTACTGCCATTTGCAAATGAATTGTACTGTCTTTGCCAAGGGTTTCTTGATCCCTATTCTGGTGCTCCTACCAAAACTCAAACTCCCTTCTTACTCTTTTTTTTCCAGGGTACCTCTGTTGTCAAACACCCACTGGGCAACCACTTCCAACTCAAAATACACCTTTCCCTCAAAACTTTATAACTTTTGAAGCTTTCTTCTAAGATATGGGGCTGACTAACAAAAGCCATATTTAGGGCTCTTTGATTCTCCAAGGCTTCAAGATCTATAGGCTTATAGGTCCTATAGGCTTCTGGGAGAAGTTTCAGAAAAGCATTAGGGTACTCGCTGGGGAACTCTCCCATCTCACTCACCTTTCTGGCTTTCCAGCCTCTGCGGTATCACTGCTAACCAAACCTGGCAATAATTGGTAAGCACCTCCATACCTCAATTGCTGTTAGTCTCAGCTTGGATAAATCTGGGGAAAGACTTGATCCAAATGGTCTGGTTCAATAGTGGAGCTACTGTCCGGTCCAGGGACCACATTCAAGTTACTGAGCAGTATTCACTCCCTTTTCTACCAGGTGAAAATCATCTGTAAAGTTTGCTGGCACTCATCCCAGTTGTGCGTGTGTGTGAAAATTACTGTCTCTAATGAGGTAATGAGCCCTGGTTGTTTTTTTTTTTCTGAAAAGGATGGATTTTGCTGTTTCCAGTAATACAGGTCACTAGTTGTAAAGGGACCATATATTAAAAAGGGGACCTGCCCACCATCTCCTCCATGTTCCCGTCTCAAGGGTAATAAGGGTAACATACCATACTGTACCACCTCAGGATGGTACAAGTAACCAAATTTCGCATGGGAGGACTTAACATTAGAGGTGCTGATGGCAAAGAATAGGAGAAAGAGTACATCAGTGCATCTTCCTCTGAGGGATTCTGTAACCCTGGGGGAGAATATTTTTTGGATATGACAAATTTAGGCCTTGTTCTCCCATCCTGAGAAAAGGAGTAAACCGAGGGTCATACAGGACACAGAACTATCAGCATGCACACACAGAACAATAGCCACAGACACTTAACCCACATGCCCCAAATCTCTCAATGTTGACCTCTATAGGAGGTCCCAGATGACAGAGAGGACATTCCAGATTGCCTCTTGAGGAGGTCGCAGATGACCTCTGGAGGATGTCACATATGTCCTCCTTAGGAAGCCCTAGATGACCTCTCATGGATGTTCCAAATGGCTTCCCAAGGAAGTGTCTGATGACTTCCAAAGGAGGTCCCAGATGTCCTCTCAATGAGGCTGAGATTACCTCACCAGTAGCTCCCAGATGGCCACTCAAGGAGGCCACATATGAACTCCAGAGAAGGTTCAAGATAACCCTCTTGAGAAAGCCACAGATAACATCCTATATGGCTTCTCAAGGAAGTTCCAGATGATGTCCGAAGATAGCCATATATTTCTTATCAAGGTAACCTGAGATGACCTCCAAAAGAAGCTCCAGATGACCTCAGGAGGTGGTCCTAGATTGCCTCTTAAGGAAGCCCCAACCCAGATGCCCCTCAGTAGATGAATGGATCAAGAAAATGTAGTATATATACACAATGGAATTCTATGCCTCCACCAAAAAGAATGACTTTGCCCCATTTGTTAGGAAATGGAAAGACTTGGAAAAAATTATATTAAGTGAAGTAAGCCAGGCCCAAAGAAACTTAGGTCCATGGTTTCCCTTATTTCCCAATCACTACTTTTATAGAGGTCTCAGATGACCTCCTGAGGAAGCCCCAAATGACCTCTGGAGAAAGTCCAAGATGGCCCCAGGAGAAGGCTCCAGATGACCTCCAGGGTAGGTCTCAGATGGCTTCTCAAGGAAGTTGCAGATGTAGTCTTGATGAGGTTCCAGATGGCTTCCCAAGGAAGGGCTACATGACCTCTCAAGGAGGTTCCATATGGCTTCCCAAAGAAGCCCTGCATGACCTCTCAAGGAGTTCCCAGATGGCTTCCCAAGGAAGCAACAGATGACCTCCAGAGGGGATCCCCAATCAGGCTGACAAGCTTGCCCACACACCCCTAGAGGACCCTAAATGACTTTTTGTCCATGATTCTCCTCCGGAGACAAACACTTGAGGTAGACTCTCAACCCTGAGTGCTGACACTCTCACCTATGAGGATTTTTCCCTGAGGCCAAGGCCTGATGCCATCCAAATGGATTATCTCGATGGGGGTCTCGAAAAATTAAGACCTCTATAGTTCAAGAGAATCCATAGAGACACATTTAATATCATAAGTGTTCTCCTAACCACCAACCCCCAAAATTATGAAATCCAAAACTCCAAACATCAAAGGGCCAGCCTTTTTTACCCTTTCTTTTGTCTTTCCACTACAGAACTATACTTCCTTTGAGGTCTTTCCCTTTCTCCCTTCTACCAGTTCCTTCTTCTCTTCAGGCCTCTTCACTCTCCACAGGCCTGAACTGCTTTGAATGGGTCGTCAGTTGCCATCCTTTACCTCCTGCCCTCCCTCAACTTCTTCTCCTCCCAGGTCTTTCTCCTTCTGCTATCAAACCACTTCCTTCCTTACAGGACTTTTCCCTTTTTCATTCAACCATTCTCTGTATATATGTGTGTGTGTGTGTGTGTGTGTGTGTGTGTGTGTGTGTGTGTGTGTGTATATATGTATATATATAGCCTTTTACACATCTATCAATATATATATAGGGCACTACTGTGGCTTGATCACAGGTCCTTAGAACTTCCTGGCAGCTCAGATTGCCAGAGGCTGGTGTGCTAAGACTGTGACCCCATTTATGGATTAGCTATTGTAGGCCGTGAGTTGAAATCCCAGCATCGCCAAAAATTTATTCATGTAGGAAGAAACCACTTTCGACACATTTTTTTCCTGAAAAAAAAATCCTGGGTCTCAGTATGATGTATAATCCATATGCAAATATATACTCGTGATAGGATGTAATAAATGAAATGTTATATGTGTAATAATAATAAATAAATAAGGGTAATAAATGTCATACTTACTAAACCCATGTATGTAAACAGTGATCATATATGAATATTATTTTTTCCAGTGCTGTGGCGTCAATTCAGAGCCTGGGAACTGGTCTGAATTTCTTGTCTTCAAGGACCGAGAGCTTCCCCTTCACCCACAATGCCACAGAGTTACCCAGACCCTGAGTTCAAATCCCATGCCAGCCAGAAAAATTCCAAAAAATTCCAAAAAAATTCCATCCAGGGCTTTATTTTATTATGTTTTTTGGCCAAACATGGGTCTTGAACTCAGGTCTTGGCATCTCTGCCACAGCTGAGCTTGGGATCCTAGGACCCAAGTTCAAATCTCGGCATTAGCAAAAAATAAAAATAAAAAGGAGAAAGATAAAACAGAGAAGTTCAAGAAGGTGGTTTTACATTTTTTTGCTTTGCATTGTGACCATCCTGGGTCTAAATGACAAGGCCCAGAATGTGTACATGATCTTACATGCTGATGTTTGGCTGGCTATTATGATAGCCATAGCCGAAACCTCAACTTAAGCCTGGAGGTCAAATCCTGGGACTGCCACTAATGATTGGCGGGAGATTCTAAGAAACGCATTCCAAAATACATCCATACAAATGTTATAAACGTAACAATTAAATTAGTAGTTAGTGTATGAGTATACTATAAAATTATACACAACAACTACACTACATTGACTAATTTTCAATTAATACTTTATTATGTATTCAACCATGATACTTAAAAATGGAAGGAATAATTTTTCAATAATTGGCAATAATATAATTTATGTAATTTAATAATATACACTCATCTTTCTCTTGTTTTATACATATATATATATATATATTTATACATCTACATATATATGTAGACATATATATATGCCGATCTACACATTTATCTGTTTATACACATCACTCCTGTGGCTCAGTGCTATAGTGATGGCTAGCACATACAAAGTCCTGGATTCGATTCCTCACTACCACATGCACATAAAAATCCGGAAGTTGTGCTGTCGCTCAAGCAGTCGAGCACTAGCTTTGAGCATAAAATCTTAGGGACTGTGTCTAGAGGCTTACTCAAGACCCAGGATGGGCACCAAAAAAGATTGAATGTTGTGACTGTAACTCTATAAGAATAGGACTTCAAATACCTCATCACAGAGCAAGCTGGGTGTCTGATGCTGACAACTGCAATCTAATCTGAATAGCCAGATGTATACCACTGCAACCAAGCGCCATGGAACCAGATACTGCTGGCTTGTTCACCCCTGTCATCCAAGATACATGGGGGCTGAGACCTGACACTGGTGGGTTTAAAATCCAGCCCTGGCAGGATGTCTGTGAAAATCTGAGCTGTGGCTCAAAATGGTAGAGCTCTAGCCTTGAGCAAAAGATCTTAGGATATTACCCCCAACATTTTAGTGCAATCCCTGTGGGTGACTCCCCCCCCCAAAAAAATACCCCTCTAAATGATTAGATGTGAACTTTGTGCAGTTTGTGATGTGTTTCTGAAAGAATGGTGATACTGTTGAAAGCACCCTAATACTAATGACAGCTTGTGGGATACAGCTATGTGATGAGTCCTTCCTGGGGTTCTGAGTCCCTCACAGGGTGCTGTGTGCTGAATCCTGCACAGGATATGTGCTGAGTCCTTCACCGAGTTCAGTGTGTTGAGTCCTGCATTGGGTGCTGGATGATGAGTCTTTCACAAGATGCTCTTTGCTGAACCCTGTAAAGAGGGTTATGTGGAGGCAGGCACCGGTGGCTCATGCATGTCATCCCAGCTACTCAGGAGGCTGAGATCTGAGGATCGCAGTTCAAAACCAGCCCGGGCAGGAAAGTCGGTGAAAACCTTATCTCCAATAAACCACAAGAAAACCGGAAGTGGTGCTGTAACTCAAATGGTAGAACACTAGCCTTGAGCTGAAGAGCTGAGGGACAGAGCTCAGGCCAAAAATTCAAGCCTCACGACAGAATAAAAAAGAGTGTTATATGTCTTGTCCATCAAAGGGTGTATTCTTTCATCTTGTCCTTGTAAGAACTCCACAACTGAGATGATTATGCAGACAAGAATATTGACACTCAGATATGTCCCCATGGGAGGGGCAAAATTATGTATTACTGAAGACTAGTGAGTTGTTTCCTGCAGACAATTGTTTTGTTTTGTTTTGTTTTTCTCAGTCATGAACCTTGAACTCAGGGCCTAAGCACTGACACTTACCTCTTGGGCTCATGGATAGCACTTCACCACGTGGAGCCAAGGAACCTCTTGCAACAGAGTGTCACGGCCTAGGGTTCTATAGCAGAGGTCTGTCATCCTGCCTTCTCAGGAAGCTGAGATCTGAGGATCTGGGTTCCAAACTATCTCAGACACAAAAGGTTCCATGAGACTATTATATCCAATTCACCACTAAGAAACATGAAGTGATAGCTGGGTGCTTATGGTTCATGCTGATCATCCTACCTACTCAGGAGGATGAGATCTGAGGATCATGGCTCAACGCTAGCCTGGGTAGGAAAGCCCTTGAGACACTTAGCTCCAATGAACCACAAGAAAACCAGGAGTGGCTCTGTGGCTCAAGTGGTAGAGCAATAAGATTTGAGCTGAAGAGCTCAGAGACAGCCCCCAGGGCCAGCTTTCCACTCCTCCAACCGACAATAATAAAAAAAAGATAGATACACACTAACAAACTGAAGTAGAGGGCTGGGAATGTGCCTTAGGGGTAGAGTGTTTTGCATATATGATTTCTCAGGACCACATCACTAGGAAAAAGCCTAAAGTGCCTCTGTGGTTCAAGTAGGAGAGGGCAATCCTTGTAGAAGAGAAACTAGGTACAGTGCTCATGTCCTGAGTTCAAGCGCCAGGACTAGAATATGCACACACACACACACACACACACACACACACACACACACACACACAGAGAGAGAAAGCAGAAGTGAAGCTGTGACACAAAATGGTAAAGCACTAGACTTCTGTTCTGAGCTCATTGCCAGCACCCAGGCCCTGTGTTCAACCCCAAAACCTAGTCATCCAGAGCCCAACTAGGAGAGGTCAAAGGTTTCAAAATCAGAAGAGTTTCACCAGCCATAGATGACTGGAAGCTTTGTGATATACAACATGTGCTTGGATTTCCAAAGCTTCCAGAAAACTAGAAAAGGCATCATAGACCCATCATTGCCCTCCGTGGAACATTTCATTAGGTTCAGTGCCCTAGTTGTCTGCCAGAAAGACTCCTGAATTATATTGAGCACTGTATATGAGCCCTGGAATATAGTCTCACAAAGACAAGATGAGTGCACAGAACTTGGCCTGCCATGGGAGTTGGCACAAATGAAGGCTTCCTGTCAAAAAACAGCACTGGGAAGAGAGATAGCTTGTTGTACAAAGAGGACTTTTTCTCCTGACCTTCAGAGCCCGCCCACACTCCTCCTCACTAATTGGCCCAGATGGAGTTGTTTGATACACAGCTCTACAGGAGTGAGGCCTTTTGTGTGCCTGTCCAGGCAATGAAAGAGACTTCTCCCAGCTGGCCTGGGATGCAGAGAAACCCTCAGGCTACACTGGGAGCAATGAGGGGAGCCCTGGAACATGTAATGTCATAAAAGCAATCTCTGTGCTATGAACTCATTGTATTGAATACAAATTTCCTACCTTGGGTGCCATTTATCATAGCTACTCAGGAGCTTCACTTATAGGAATGTATCTATACATACACAAAAACATGGAGGTGTGCAGGTTCTTTTTGAGGGGACAGGTCCAAGGGTTGAACTATGAGCCTAGGCCTTGTCTCTGAGCTCCTTTTGCTCAAGGGTAGTGCATTAAGGTGGAGTCACAATCCCACTTCTGGATTTTTCTGTGATCTCTTTGAAATAACAGTGCCATGGACTTTCTTATGCTGGCTGGATTCGAACTCAGATTCTCTACATCTTAGCCTCCTGAGGAGCACGGATTACAGTCAGCAGACACTGGCACCTTCTTTCTTTTCTTCTTTGTTTTATAATCTGGACAATCTGACTTCTTAATAGGGTCATTCCAATGGTTTGGATTTATAAGTCAACTACCCAATGTTCTTTATAGCTACGTTCTCTGAAAAGGATTTTCTCTACTCATCATACCCTCTGGTCACAGGTTTGAAACCAAAAGTGAGAATTGAGTGTCACAAGATTCATGAGAAAATGTCCACAAACATACCAGTTCTGTCACTTAGCATTGAGATGCACTTAATTTACTGTCTCAGGGTATGAGGACCGAAAGCTGGAATAATCCTCATACTGTCTGCATTGCTCCTTTTGCCTAGAAAGTGATCTAATAATTATGAGTGTTTTGTGTCTCCAAACTTAAGTATCTAGAACACACTAGAATCATCTTCCTGTTTCCGTTTTTTTCTAGTACCTCTCGAGATTTAGATGAAAGATTTGTGTGGAGTGGCTCCTAGGTGAATCCCTGAGGAAAACCACTTGAAGCCTCCTCAGGGGATCATGATTGAAAGCCAGCCCTACCAGGAAAGTCTGTGAGACTCTTGTCTCCAATAAACCACCAGAAAACCAGAAGTGGAGCAGTGTCCTAGAGGGTAGAGCTCCAGCTTTGAAAGAGAAGGCCAAATAAGAGATACAGGCCAGATCAGTCAGGAAAGCCTGGGAGGCGCTTTTGTTCAGTGAACGACCTGATGGCTGGCAGTGGAGCTGTGGCATTGGTAGAGCCTCAGCCTTGAGCAAAATAGCTGAGGAAAGTATCACACCCTGAGTTTAAGCCATGGGATGGCCACCAAAAATATTTCAAAAAGCAAAGGCCAAGTTTATGTATTAATATCCTACTTACATGTGTATACTACCTCCCTGAGTGCAAACAGGCTGTATGCAATGCTTCTGCTTTTATTTACTGATTTATTTTTCAGATATGCTCATTGCGCATACTGCATCATTCTGTTCATTTCAACCTCATCATTTTTCTCTTCCCAGATTCCAGGCCTGTGTCCTTATATGATGCATACTAAAGCTCTCAGCAGCCTTTATTTACATTTTATTGAGGCCAATGCAGGAACCGTCACAAATCAGGCAGGGGAAGAGAAGATCAGGGTTCATAGGAATAACCTGTGT